CGGCCTGCTGCTGTGGGTGGCGCCCGAGGGAGTGTTCGCCAAGCGCCTGTGCCAGGGCCGCGTGTACTGGCGCGGCCCGCTGGCCCCGCACCGCGCGCGGCCCAACAAGCTGGAGCGCGAGCGCACCTGCCAGCTGCTCGACACGCGCCGCTTCCTCGCGGGTAAGACAGAAGGTGGAGCCGCGCGTGGCGCAGGACAGAGTGGCGGGACGCGAGCGTGGGAGAGGGACACGGGCGCACGAGGTGTGGGTTGCACATTGAAACAGAGGGCATGACACAAAAATACCGGGAGTGGGGACAAGTGTGGGCTTCGGGAGAGCTGGGCACAGATACTGACAGAGGCACATGGGAGATTTAGGCGAGGAAGAGGCTTCAGGCATTGGGTGTGGGACATACACATAGGACTCGGGCACCTGTATCGTCACAGGGCACTAAGCAGAGGGGTGGGCATAAAGGAGTGGCAGTGAGCATAGGAGCACAAAGCATGGGGCAGGAGCTCTGGAAGTGGGCATGGGTGTGGGACATGAGACAGGCATAGGGACATGGAAGTGGGCATAAGGCATGGGCATACACGATGAGGATATGGGGCTTGCAGGACGTGGGATGGGATATGGGCACAAGGTGGGCACCAGGTGGGATGCCCCATCTTGGCCCAGCCCCTACAGTCTCAGTGTCTGTAGAACTGCGGGCCCACCTGCAGGATGGTCACCCAGAGCCCGAGTACCAGATCCGTCTGTGCTTTGGTGAGGAGTACCCAGGCCCCCCAGACCAGCCCCAGGAGCGGCTCATCATGGCCCACGTGAGTCACTTCCCCACTGCAGTGGAGACCCACATCCTCCAGTCCCCTCCTAACAGACCCTCACTGCTCCCTCTAGTCCCAGCGCTGCCCCTGACCTGCTGTATGACCCTCTGATCTGTATGAGCCTGCATGTAAAATGTGTGTGGGGAGGGGGCTATCACTAGGGCTATGACTTCCCACAGGAACATAGGGGATGGGTGACGGAGAAAGTGGGCTCATTGCCCCACCTTCTACCCCTGCAGGTGGAGCCGGTCTTTGCCCGGGAGCTCCTCCGGCACTTGAAGCAACACAACCACAGTGCCCCAGTGGCCGGTTCCCAGTCCCCACATCCGTGATGGCATCACTCACTTGATGACACCGCTGAGTCAGCCCTAAGCAGCTGCTGCTTCCTCATACCCTCTAAAGTCAGCCCCCCAAAGGGTGCAGACCCCACCCCAGCTCTGCCCAAACTGAGCCAGTGGACTTGGGCCTCTCCTGACCCAATCGTGGCCTTAAACTTCTGAACTGAGGAAGTGTAGCCCTGGAGCGTGGTGTGTGTAGGTGGATGGCCCGCAGTTGGGCCTGGGGCATCAGGTGGAAACTGAACTGGACCTTGAGATTCCGGAAACAGCAACTAGGGCAGAAAAAATGAGACTTCATCTCTTTGTTGAGAGCCCAATTTGCCTATAGCAGTTTATCTAAAGCAGACCTTACCTGTGATTGATCCATCATAAGCTTTGCTTAAAGCTGAGTTTACCTCTGAGGAGCTCTGAATTTCCAGACCCTTCCTCCTACCTGCCACTAGGGGTATCTGGTGCCCCATCTCTCCTCTTTCTGGGTGAGGCCAGGGGGGAGGAGAAGGAAGTTCCCAAACAGAGGACTTGGCCTGAATCTGAGGCTTTGGATGTTAACCACTGAACCACCAGCACCGTTAGATACTTTCTTTGGAGAAACTGAGCCAGGCTCCCAAACAGAGCCCTAAGGCAGAAGCCAAAGTGGGAACCAGGAGGAGTCCAGCGCCTTCCCAAGCCCCTTCAGTCCTTGCAAAGTATAAGTTGTCAGAAATTCTTGAGAATTGAGAGGGAGCCCCTCAACCATGAAGGCAGTTAACCCTGCCTTATCAGTAAGTCACTGTTTTCTGCTGCAGATATCAAACATTTTTCCCTTTTCTGATTTACAGATGGCAACATAATAAATCTCTTTTAGTGATTCATTAATAAGTCACTTTAATAGGGGGAAACTGTATGATTCAACAAAGGACAGAAGTCAATCAAATCACTATTTTTAAAAAGTGGATTGAACACCTGTTCCAGGCCAATGCCAGACAGTGGGGATAGAGCAAAACAGCATGGTCCCTACTCTCTTAGGGTTCACAGCCTGTTTTCCAGTGGGGTCCCAGTGACTGTTCTCTATCCCTGCCACTCACAGGAGGGGTGATGTTATGGAGTTACAGAATCCTGGGTTAAAATCCAGGATTTCACTCACCAGCTTTTTCATTCACTAGCTGTGTGACCTTAAGCAAGTCACTTTACTTCTCTGAGCCTCAGATTCCTCATCTATCCAAAGGAAGCTCTGAAGGCCTCTAGAGCGGGGTTGGTCTGAGAAGTAAATGTGGAGAAGGGAGGTGAATGGGCCTAGCGTGAAGAGTGGCACACAGTAGGTACCCTCTGACTTGGTTACTTGTGGTTGGGAGATTATGGAGGAGGCTGCCCCATCCTTCAGAAGGCCCGAGTGTCTGTCCTGGGCTTTGCTGTACCCCTGACCCAAGCCTGCAGCCGGCGGGGAGCCTCAGTTCAGAGTGACAGTCCTCATCATGTCCTACTCTCCGCTAGGCTCACAGAGGGTGCTGGATTCCATGTAAGGAAGCCTGTTGCCTCCTCACCACAGCTCGTACAGATGAAGAGTTGCCAGCTCCACTTTAGAGATGGGAAACTGAGGCTCAGCCAGGGTCAGGGACTTGCTGGAGACACCTCTTGGGAGGGGGAATGTCTCTGCCCAAATGTCCGTCCTCCCCACACCACTAGAGGGCGCGGGGGCTCAGCAGACCAGGTTTGGCCGGCTCTCCTCACCGTCCTAGCCGCCCCGCCCCACATCCTCATACACCCTAGTGAGAGGAGAGCAGGGAACAAATAGTGTGACCTCAGGGCCCTGCACTGTGGGGAGAAGCAGACCACAGGCCTGGGAGAGGAGGAGAGGAGAAAGGGGACCTGGAGGTGGGGACTCGAGAAGCCCTGGTGGCTTTTCTCACAGAGATTCCCAGTTCTCTAGTTCAGATTCTAACTTCTGCCGTCTCTCATCAGGGATGACCGTCTCTGTCTCTCTGCCCCTCCCTCCCTTGTATCTGTACTTGTGTCTCTCCCTGTTTCTTCCTTTTACTCTCTATCTCTGTAGGTCTCTCTATTCCTCTGTTTCAGTAATTCTAACGTTTTCTGTAGACTACGCGCGTGCATGCGTGTGCGTGTGTGTATGTTTTTCTGTCTTTGTCTCTCCATGTCTCTGCCTCTATCTTTGTGTGTGTGGTTCTGTCTCTTGTTATGTCTCTACCTTTCACTATCTCTGTCTCTTTACATCTCTGCCTCTATCTCTTTTTGTTTCTGTCTCTGTCTCCCTCAGTTTCACAACCTATCCTTCCCCAGCCACCACCACCCAGCACATGGGGGCTGAGGGTCTCACTCAGTCCCTTCCCTCCCAACTCCTCACCCCTGGCAGCTGCTCAAAGCTTCCCAATCCTGGCCTCTCCTGCCCGCCCTTCTTGGGCCTTGGAGGAGGGGGGCGAGGGAGGAAGGGAGGGCAGCCTGGCGGGCCCACCCCTTTTTGCCTTTCCAGGCTGGGAGGCTGGGCCAGTGGGCCTTTTAACCAGCCTGGGCAGGCTGTGCCGGACACCAGCCCTGGATGCAGTGCCTGGCTCCCGTGGTCTCGGCAGCTGTGAGCCAGGCCAGCCCAGCCAGCATGCAGCAGCAGCCCCCGCCCGGGCCCCTGGCCCCTGCAGCCGAGCCAACCAAGCCCCCCTACAGCTACATAGCCCTGATCGCCATGGCCATCCAGAGCTCCCCGGGGCAGCGGGCCACACTCAGTGGCATCTACCGCTACATCATGGGCCGCTTCGCCTTCTACCGCCACAACCGGCCCGGCTGGCAGAACAGCATTCGCCACAACCTGTCACTCAACGAGTGCTTTGTCAAGGTGCCCCGCGATGACCGCAAACCAGGCAAGGGCAGCTACTGGACGCTGGACCCCGACTGTCACGACATGTTCGAGCACGGCAGCTTCCTGCGCCGACGCCGACGCTTCACCCGGCGGGCAGGTGCCGAGGGCACCAAGGGCCCTGCCAAGGCACGCCGAGGACCCCTCAGAGTGACCAGCCAGGACCCAGGAGTCCCCGATACTACGACTGGCAGGCAGTGCCCATTCCTGCCGGAGCTGCCGGAGCCCAAAAGCCTAAGCTTTGGGGGGTTGGTGGGGGCCTTGCCCGCGAGCATGTGCCCGGCAACCACCGATGTCAGGCCCCGGCCATCTGCGGAGCCCAAAGAGATGCCCACACCCAAGCCCACAGGCTCGGGGGAGCTCCCCATGGCCACCTCACCTTCCTCATGCCCAGCCTTTGGCTTTCCTGCAAGCTTCTCTGAGGCCGAGGGTTTTAGCAAGGCCCCTACACCCATCCTGACCCCCGAGGCTGGCATTGGGAGCAGTTACCAGTGCCGGCTGCAGGCCCTGAATTTCTGCATGGGCACAGACCCAGGCTTTGAACACCTCTTGGCCTCAGCAGCCCCCTCCCCTGCACCTCCCACCCCTCCAGCTTCACTGCGGGGCCCGCTGCCCCTGACAGCTGATCCCAAGGAGCCCTGGGTTGCAGGCAGCTTCCCTGTCCAGGGAGGCTCTGGCTACCCACTGGGGCTGACCCCCTGCCTATACCGGACTCCAGGAATGTTCTTCTTTGAGTGAAGCCAGCCTGGCCTTGGGCAGTCCCTGCCACTACACCCTCCAGGCTGAGCCTGACTCTAGGATCCGGGGAGCTCTCAAAGGACCCAGGTCTGGCAAGCCAACGACAACTGGGATGGGAAGCCAAGATTGGAGTGGTGAACACTCAGCCAGCCCCCCAGGGCCTCCGGACAGACTTGGGGTGAGGGGAAGCAGAGCCCCCTTGGATTTACTCTGTGGCTCTCAGGGCCAATAAAGCCAGTGTGATGATGAGGGTCAGCTTGCTGGATGGTTGGGGGCTAAGGGCCGGGACGTCTAATTCTATGCGGGGTGGCTGTGGCTGTGGGATTATGTGCGGGGGTGAGAGACCCCAGATGGAAACATTCCACATGAAGACTTCTTCTTCTGGGGACTTTCTCAGGGAGTTTCCCAGGAAGGCAGAGGAAGGAGAAACAGGGACTAGAGTAGAGAGAGGAGGGCTGCAGCCATGAGCGATACCAGGCAGGGAGTGAGGCCGGCCTGGCCTCAGGGGCTGGCTCTCCAATCCCAAACTCTGTGGCTTAGCTGCCCCCATCGTGAGCAGTCAGAATAACTATGACAACTTGTGACATTTATTCCATTCTTTATATATATATGTATATATGTATATGTATATATATATTCTGTTTGATATGGAATGATATCCTCATTTTACATTGGTGGAAACTGAGGCTTGGAGAGTTTGGGCCTCCTAACTTCAACTCCGGATGGCACATGAGTGGCAGAGAGGAAATCATAACTAGGTCTGTGTACTCTACCCCAAGCCCCTGACCTGCAGTTTGAGAGAGATGCAGGGGTGCCACAGAGAGTAGAAGCAGAGCTGGTGGTATCGGGAAGGAGCTCTCAGGGGATGGGGAGAAGGGGGCGGTCAGATGCCAGTGGTAGAAAGGCATTGCTATGCCTTTCGAGGCTCAGAAGGCAGGCACCAACCTTCTTGTCTGGATCTCCCACACGAATGGGGCCTCCCTGAGTCCCAGTTTGCTGAGCTCTCCTGGTGACCTTTTAAGAAAGCATTTCTCTCATGGGGAAGGGGAGTGGCTGTCCTGGGTACAGATCAGAAGTGACAGAGTTCTGACCCTTGGCCTTCTCTAGCTCCCCCTTGGGGAAGCAGGAGAAATGGATGTATTGTCGTCCCCATCAGAGGAAGGGAGTTGAGGTCCTGAAACTTCATTGTCCCCACACCCCTAATACCAGAGTTGCTGAGGCTTCCTTCCAGAGCCTCAGTTCCCCCATCTGGATCATGGGTATAGGGAGAGAAGAGAAGGGCCAGGACACTGAGGAACCCCCTTTCTGGTCTTTGGTGTAGTGGTCTAGGGGGTCTTATGTCCCACAAGGTAACATCCAGGGGCTGGAGACCCCTTCATCGGGCAGGCAGCCCAGTCCCCTCCAAAGGCCCTTC